CAACGTCTTGCAAGCCACATTTCTGCAGGCTTGCTCGAATCACTCGACTCACCTCTTCCGATATGAATGGGAAGCTGAACGGCACTTTGTCGGAGGATATCCCGTTAGTGAACCTACAGTGTTCAGCATATCCTCTTCGTGTTGACCCCGACTCTTTGTATCCGTTGGATACCGCAATACTCCGGGCTATTTCGAGCGATTCCTTTTCCAACCCAACATCAGAGGAGACCTTGCTTGCAGTTCTGTACATGTTATGCATCAGTACAGCCTGGGTGGTCCATCTCGCGTCACCGCGATCAAGGTAAGCCAAGTCATCTTTACTGACCGATACAGTTAGGTGGTTTACCGGCTTCTCGAAATGGTCTTCAGTTTTAGTTAGGCGTTTGAGAGAACAAGTCACATCTGTTTTTGACTCTTTCAGGCTCTGACGAAGGCGAACAAGCCGAAACGTTGGCCTAATAAATGTTAACAATCTTGGTCGGCTCAAGTGAACACTAAATTGACATCACAACCATGCCAAGATTAAGGGATAGTCGGTCCTGGTCGATTCTACAACATGTGCCAGCCAACTGCTTCCGACTAGTGAAAGAAGTCCTCTCTTTGCGACAGAAAATTGTTGCACTGAGACAAACCACCCACTTCTTACGCCGCTGTCTACAATACGGTCTGATGCCAAACTTCATTGCGAACAAACAGGCTGTATGAGATGTGCGGAATGCCGAAGGATTCGAGAAGAACGAGGACTGCACTGGAGGCTACACACGAACTGCTTTGCGAGCACGAAGGGACACTTAATCTTCTCGGGTTCACCATCTCGCAAGTAATGGAGATCCTGGGGGAATGTCTGAAGTGCTCCATTTTCAGGTGGGATGGACAATATTATAGGCAATTGCGGGGATTGGCTATGGGACAACGGCTGGCACCGGTGCTGGCCATAGCCTTCATGTCCAGGATAGAGAAACCCATACTGGATCGAAGGCCACTTCTCTATTGTCGTTATATTGATGACTGTCTCATAATATGCCACACTAAGGCGAAATCGATAAGCCTTCTAAATGAGCAAATTGGCTACCATTTCTCAACATTCAAATCCAGTTGTGGGGAGATACGGTTAGAACGAAGTGGTATCGAAAGCCGAGCAACAAGAACATCCTTGTTCATTGTGACTCGGCACACCCCAAAATGACCAAGCGTGCTATCGTAAATAACATGTACAGAACCGCAAGCAAGGTCTCCTCTGATGTTGGGTTGGAAAAGGAATCGCTCGAAATAGCCCGGAGTATTGCGGTATCCAACGGATACAAAGAGTCGGGGTCAACACGAAGAGGATATGCTGAACACTGTAGGTTCACTAACGGGATATCCTCCGACAAAGTGCCGTTCAGCTTCCCATTCATATCGGAAGAGGTGAGTCGAGTGATTCGAGCAAGCCTGCAGAAATGTGGCTTGCAAGACGTTGTTAGGTTGGTAGAAATACCCCCTAACAATTTGAAACGCATCCTCGTTCGCAATCGCCTTTATGATCAGCTGTGCGACACCCCGGCGTGCATGGTTTGCCCCCATGGTAGAGCAGGAGATTGCATGAAATCGGGTGTGATCTATTTAATACGTTGCCTCGCGTGCAATGGTGAGTATATAGGAGAAACTGGTCGTCCGCTGCGCGTACGGGTTAAGGAGCACTTGGATGGTCTGCGAAGATCACGTATCCAAACTCCTTTGGGGGGTCATCGAGTTCACTGCCACGATGATGTCGAATTCCAGGTGACCGTGTCTATCCTGGCGCAGGAACCTGAGATCGCTGCGCGGAAGACCTTGGAAGCATTCTGGATTTCGGCTAGAGACCCCCAAATGAACAGAAAAGAGGAGTGTGTGGCCATTACCCGTGAGCTTGCGCCCTTCTCTGACCTCTGTGGATTTTGATCTACGTGAGGTCGAGGTTGAGGTCGAAGGGCGGAGGGGCAGGTCTCACTTATTGCATCAGTACAGCCTGGGTGGTCCATCTCGCGTCACCGCGATCAAGGTAAGCCAAGTCATCTTTACTGTCCAATACGGTTATGTGGTTTACCGGCTTCTCGAAATGGTCTTCAGTTTTAGTTAGGCGTTTGAGAGAATCTGACGAAGGCGAACAAGCCGAAACGTTGGCCTAATAAATGTTAACAATCTTGGTCGGCTCAAGTGAACTACTAAATTGACATCACAACCATGCCGAAGATTAAGGGATAGTCGGTCCTGGTCGATTCTTAATCCAAAATTTTCTCCTCCTTCCCCAAAACACAGAGGGGGCAGGGACGGGGTATGGAGAACAAGAAGAACAGGAGAAACCAAAAAGAAACTCAACAAATTTTCAAAAATTGAGAAATTTCCCCCTTTTCCCTCTCACTTCCTTTTGTTTCTTTGTTTCTATTCTCAAATACGACGAGCCCTCCCTTCAGCGACTAAATAAGATCCCCTCGCTGGAGATCCCAACGTACAGTGCCGTGTTTTTGGTACTACTCGCCCTTCCTTACTCCACCTACCATCTTCCGAATACCTTAGCGGTTGTAACCGGAAAAATTAGCTCGGTGCTCGCAGAACCGTACTTCAAAGCCGGAGGAGTCCCCTATCGACAAATGCAACCGCCTGCTCGCCGTTTCTTCCTAGTACTACTAAAATATCTCATGGGGAGCACGAAATTGAGCCTTCTCTTCAATTTTCATCCTGAGAGAAGCTTGATCAAATAGAAATCTCTCCCCAATACCTTGATCGCATGCGTGTCGACACGTAATTGTGGGACTCCGCTTGACGTCGACGGTGACTCAGAGCGAGGTGGACGTAGGCGAGATAGCGAACTGTCCGGTGAGACATCTAAAGAGGACCAAATAGCACTAATAGATTTGAAACAAAAAAACCAATGAAAAATTTGTCAAGGAACTCAACGCGAAACTTCAGCTTTCTATTGTTAACCGTGCAAAATAAGTGATAAGTGATTAGTAAAGGAGCACGTCAATGATCACCATGCATAAAATAGCCGTCCGGTTGGATGACAAGATTTCTGACGGGCACTGGTGGTGACTGATAGGAGCGAGTACTGTAGGGACTACTGTAAGGCTGGTGACGAATATCCGCCACTTCCATAGTACGGCGATACACCACCGTCAAAGGTGGCTACAGGCCTGCTGCAGAGCACGACGATTCAACCGCGGCGGTGCAGCATTTCTGAAAGAACGACGCAATATATGCTATTGTCTGGGTCGTATTTTTTAAGGTTACACTACGCTAACAACTAGGTTGAGGAAATACTGACGCGCGCTCTCTTTATTTTTCTTTTACTGTGTTATCGTTCATTTACTGGTAATGTTATTCTAGCAGTTGAGAAGAGCGCATTCCGGAGTATTGGTCCATGTCACCGCTACTTGTTCTGAATGTCTACCACTGTAAATTTTATGCATAGTGTAAGCCACCCGAAATCGCAGCCGAGCTTCCCTTGAGAGTAAGTGCTGCAGATGAACTTGTGATTCCGGGGCGGAGACGTGAGCTTAGAGGCCAAAGATTATCCGCAGCGAGCTTGTGGTACTATATAAGAGTAACCAAGAGGACGACCACTACTCATTTCTATGCTGCTGATTTAACGGCTTTACGGGTAGTAGGTACTCAACATGAATCTAGCCCATGAGTAACTCTCCAGTAGAGGAAGAAGCGAAAAAAAAGTCCGAACACTCTGGACAGAGGTCCCCCTTAGCAGTGGGCGCCTTGGACGAGTTTGTCGGACGTCGGCAAGCCCAATCAGCAGGATTCGACGTGCAACCATTCCCGGCAAGAGCACAGGAAATCACCCTACGACGCTCCAGGCAACGCTATGTACACACGCAATTCCGCTTGTAAGCCGTTGTCTTGCAGAGTGAAAGTAATCGTGGTTGCAATGGTTGCAATAATCACGCGTCTCTAGCTTCTTTATCTCGCCGTTTCGAGTGAGAAAGTGGTATATTCTCTGCGAATGCGGTTAACGATGGCAAATGCACAAAGGCATTTCGTGGATCGCTTGATCGCGGGAACTGTCTTTGAATGATGATACCTATGCACTTCCACGACAGTATGCGGCTACGCGATACAAGTATTACACAGCAAAAGACAGCCCAAATGAACTATAGCACGTCCTTTTCCACATTCCATATGACCCTAATATTACCCTGACTATCGTTTGTAGCAGTCCGTGGTTCTTGACTACAGAAAAGTTAAAAATGAAAGAATCGATGAAGCCGGGATCTGGGTGTTCAAGTGCTTCGGCTGGCACCTATGCATGTTCTTCAAGAGGGACATTCACTATCTGAGGGGAGGAATACCGAATAGTATTTATATTTCCTCAACCTGATATATTAAGAGCGGAAAGAACGCTGGCTCTTATAGGAGTTGTACATTAACATGCTACACTCGTGAGATTTCTGCTCAATATCAGAGAAGTTTCGCATTCGGCAACCTCCTTTCCTCACTTTCGGGAACTCCCTTTTTGGAAATGGTGAAATCCAAGGGTTTTAACTTAATGTGCGACTCGTGAGATATATGTCATTGAGGAAAGCTACTTTCAGAGAATTTTGTTCGAAAAAACCACCCAAACGATTCCCTCAGAGATTTCATATTGTAGTAGTCATAGTCATGTGCAACATCCAAGACTTTTTTTTACTAAGAAAAATATACCTATTCATGTTGCCGGGCGATGATGGAAAAAGATATGGTTCATACGATCCCCGCTCCCTGCGTAGACGTTCTTGGGGTGCGTAGTCGTAATCATTGTCCACCAGCTGAGGAGGCACGGAGCGATCTCGTCGCGCGCTCGACGACGTGCCTGGAGGTCGCCGATGACCCGATGAGAGGAATGAGTCTTCCGAAGAATCCGGTGATGACGGCGACAGCATCACGACACCCTGACGGCGTGCACTTTTGCTACGAGCTTGTCTGTCAGCAGCAGCTGTAATGGCCGACACACCATTCGTTGTCCCAGCGTGAGCGCGAGCTAAATGTGAATGCAGTGGTTAAGCACACTAGCCGAGTTAGATGGCTGCAAAAAGAGCAAATATGATTAACAAGTAGTCGAAGTGATAAAAGAGATTGTTAATAATCACACGGCATCAGTCAAGCCTTACGTTGAGTTTTGTAACCTAGTTCGTGCACGAGTTCAGCCTATATGGTTAATGAAAATATGCAACAGTGTACCATCTAGATGATTGGGCCGTGACAACATCCTCATCGATTCCGGACTTGCTGAATCATACGAGACTAACACAGGGTCGCCGATCACCATCGCCGCGGGCTCACGGTGACGTGAGTCCTTACGACGTCTGAAAGGCGTCTAAATCCGTTAAAACACTCTTGAAAATACTGCACAAAATACATTATGGTGAAGAACAAGATTGTTGAATTTTTCCTTGTTTCAAATAAATCTGCTGCAAGAAAATCGGAAACGAATTGCGCTTGGCCCCGACTTGCACGAGCTGCGCCTGGGCGTAATAGGAAAATCTGGCAGGTAAGGGGGCTGAAAAGCAGATATTAGGTGTTAACATAGTTCGGATGAGGGGCGCGCTGCGAGACCAAGTAGCACCGACTCGAACTGCCTGATACTCTTTGAGCCAGAGGAAGTTCTGCCCTCCCGAAACCTCCCGAAGCATTTTGATCCCGATAAATAATATAGAACGCGCTAAGTGTAAATAAGACCCTCCGCCAACCTCCAGCGGCGACCAAACAACGTCCTCCGCTGGGGATTCCCTCGCACGGGTCTTTGTCGAATGTTTTGACCATGATGTCGCGCTCGTTCTCCAGGATCTATAGTACTTCAAGGTATCTCTACTGCAACACCTTCAGCTCCAGATTTAGAACATCACAGTTCGATTTCAGTGAGTATTTTACTTCTCCTGACTCATTTCATTTCGGTACTACAAGGATCAAAACTCAAGAATTGTGCAGTACATACCGACTGCTGGAACGCAGGTCCATTTTCTTCATGATGGCTCGTGCTCGCTCTTTGATTCCGTTCGCTATGTGAACGCTGCAGTTTGTTTTGAGCACTGGAACAGACATGACCATTATTCCAGGAATAAACTATGTTTCGATTAAATCGTTAAGAGATAGGCAACATTAAATGTTTCGCAGTTTAAAATATAGCGCTAGAGCTTTTCGCAATTTTGCGGCTTTTTCCAACATCATGCTGTTTCGCTCAATTCCACCTCATCAACTGCAATATTTAACTGTTTGGTTGTCCCGAACCATCGGCAACTTGTTGCCAACCAGCAAGTGAAGAATGGTTGCCTTGCTTCCAGAATCGTTTTGGTTCCGTGCCGAGAAAGCAGCCACGTCATTTTTGAGGTGCTCTCGGATGTTATTACTCGCTCTTGGACTCTCGTATTTTTTTTTCAGAAAATGGCCGCTGAGGAATAATATTAAAGGACAGCCGGAAAGAGCTAAGTCAGGGCTATGCGAATTCAGTGGTGAAGTTCCCCAACTAAGCTTCAGGATCTCGAGCAGCATCATTTTCGAAACGCGTGGCCCTTAGCTGTGGTGGAATAGATAAATATTTCTAATTTGTAGGACCAAACAGCGTGCTTCTCACTCTCCCTTTGCCACTGATTGCAATAGGACTCGCTGGTTACCACAGCACTGAGAGGAAGAAATTCCGTGTAGTAAAGCCCACCACGTACAAAGTATCACCTTCTACTGGATTGATAGGATTATACAACAGGTTCCGCCCTTTATGGAGGGTCTAGCCCCTGGGCTGACGCTCCCGAGAGTGATTTACGTGGATACTAGATTTGAACATAGGACGAGGGTAATCGGATTTGGTATCGTCTGCCCACAGCACATATAGTTGATAACGACTCATCCAGTCGGGGCGGTGTCAGGAGAGGCAGATAGTGCCCGCCTTCAGCTGCCTTGCTCTACCAGTGGCAATTGATTAGTGGTTAGCAACAAAATAACCAGTGGTAGGAATGCGCGGGTGACCCGTTTCATCTTAAAACCGCCCCGATTGACTGAGACGAAATCAACTGTATGACAGGCTAACGGCAATGATGGCGTGACGTATTGACTGGAATTCCTAGCGGTCCCAGCGGAACAACAGTTACCAAGCAATATTCTGCACTGATCAGAGCTGCCACGATATCACAATGTTCTGCTTTTAACGCCTATGGTCACCAATGATGATTGATAATGATAATTTGAGCTGGGAGTTGTCTAGTTCCAAGTAAACACACTGCAACTTGCCGAAGACGAGTTTGGTAAAATTCGACACTCATACTTCAATACTTTTCCCCACTCTCTCTCTCTCCCTGGTTATCGTTCGGTCCATGGTGTTCCCAGAGCCACCACGCGCCCGCGAACACCATACACCACTGAACAAGAATGGAACAAAAACAAATCAAAATTTTTGATCCACTTACCCATTTCCATCGCATTCGGGGCGATCATCATACCGCTCTAGTTGTCTGCCACTTCGTTTGCCAGCGTACGGGTCACGCACTTCTCGTACTTCGTAGCGACGTGCATCTAGTTGGTTTCGATATGAATCCCAGTTTGGTTTTGGGCATACTATAAAGTGTTAGACATGATAAACGCAACAATAAGCCCTTAAGCGGCTTCATTCCCAGATTCCCAAATGGCAATTTTGATTTGGAAATTTCGACCTTGTTGTCAACATGACATGTGGTTTGAAACTTTGAAGCTCTGTAGGTGTCTAAGCAGGTTATTCCTCTGAAGCCCTCATTTCAGTCCGAGGTACGAGATAGTCCTGTGATGGACGCAATGTCAGATGCGCTGGAGTGGTTCTAGTCGGCGAACAGGGGTGAGACCAAGGACGATTGCTCATCAGTTTGAAATTCTAATTGGCCGTTGCGCACTGTGGGTAGAGAAGCACTTCCAGACAAGATGCCATAGACTGTAAAGTAGGCATTAAAAGAATCGATTTTCACTAGGATGTTCGAGGAAAAACAACGGCTGTAAGCTGATGGTGGGTAGGAAACTTGAAAGTGTTGAAGAATTAGTTACTGCCGACCTATTTGAACGTTTTTGATTTCCGTATCCGTTTTTGATTTCCGTATTTGAGCTCCGAGTTCCTAAGAACAACCCTTCCGCAGAAGCTTATCACGTGACAAGTACGGTAGCAAGGGCGCGTGTACAAAAAAAATAGTAAGACAAATCGGAGAACGTCAGTAGGAGTCATACACAATGGCAGTGCCTCACTGCGAAGCACTGATCACTACGGCAAGCATAAGTATCACAGACCATGGCAGCTAGAGCTAACCTAAAATTAGAAACAGAGCGTGACATGTGTACCGCATGAAAGTGAGGTCATTGAGGGGGGGGGGCATGCCACCAGGATCAAGCATCATGTCGCAGAACATCGCTCGGCCGTTATGATCCCCTTTATCTGCTGTCGAGGTATCTGTCCAGTTTCTGTGGTTGCGTCGCATATTATGAGATTGCAGAGCTGTATGACCCAGTTGACTTCCGTCGAACTTCCATCTTCGAAAAAACTGTAACTTAACCCGCGAACGACTTTTCAGAAGAATGTCACAGTGAAGGAGTTAGATCAGCGTGATGGTGGTAAAGACTCTAGACAGTAAGAATGGCTATTAAAAACAGTGGACTTCGGAAAAAAGGTTTCGGCAACACCAGCATGACTTACGGGATCCGGACTCTGTGAACCACTAAATTTGAAAAGGTATTCAGTGCCTCGTCCATAGGTTGTAAAACATGCACAGGGAAGAGCTACAAGTAGAAACTACTCACCGGTCCTGCCAGGAACGCCATACATCTGCTCGTTACCAACCCTGGACCACGTGTGTGAATGACGTTGGTAGCGCCAATTACCAGACAGCGCTATCTGAAACACTAGGTTGAAGTGATCAAAATCTGCGGATTGACCACTAATTGATGGGTTGGTTCCAATACGTTCATTCAAACGCACGACCAAAGAAAGCATCGCAAGCTCATGCGTGTGTTCTCAGAGAATACAAAACAGTGAAGAGATTCCCACACTTTTTCTTGAACACTGGGAAGAATTAAGGGTTCCGGACTCACACAATGATATGTAGTCAAAGGAATAACCATCCGAGTGTTTTTGTTTTTGCATACGACCTTTGATCATTTGAATAACACAAGCTGGTAATTGTACTCTGTACAAAAATCCATGCTGCAAAAGCGCAAAAATTTGTCGAAAAAAGGTTACTGATATTTTATTGTGAAACTGCAAAGCGATATACACTCGTCATCCGGGCAGTTGATTAGGGCGGTCGTCAAGGGGCCGCAGACGCGGCTGCAGCAGCGACCGCGTACGTAGGAACTGTGTGCGGCGATCACCGTTTCCGGCCTGGTTTAGTCATTTTTTCCTACTTTTCACTGCTTTTGGACGACTTAATTAAACAATTAAACAAACACCTAAGAAAATCGTGAAAACGCTCTATTGCACTCCATACAGAAACAAAAAAAGAATTCACGTCCGTGAAGGATAATCAACTGCCCGGATGACGACTTTAACTAACTTTAACTTTAAGTAGTCGCAAGTGGACCGTCACGTATAGAACGCAGCGTGTACCAGCAGATATAATCTTTGTCTAATGAAAACAGGTTCGTTTTCTATTACCAAGCGATAGCAAGTGAAGGAACGCAGTGATAAGGGAGCATTCACACTTGCGGTTCTGGAGACACGGAAAAGCTCGGAATTCAAAAACCGAAGAATTTGCTACGATAAAAATTTCTCTACATGTCTGCAGAATCGGAGAGAGGAAAATAGAACACTCTTCGACTGATTCCGGCCGACTTGGGATTCGCAGATCTAAAAATAGCAAATTGTTATTCAGTAAGTGTGCTCTCTTTTATCCGTAGTCTGCAGGATTACAATTACGGCTTGGGTGCTATTTGAACTTGGCTGTGGCTGCGCGTATTGCAGAATATAGCCCATTGGAACAATTGTGTTCATCTGGTTTTTTAAGGACAAGGAAGGATGACAGTTGTCCCAAGAGAAAATATCCCACAAAGTCACATCTTGCACCGTAGTGTGCAGCCAAGTTCTCCCCATCTCAGAAGTATGTACTGTAGAAGCTGCAATGCAATAGGAAAGCAGGAAATAGGAGAATTTTCACTGATCCGCTCCGACGGATACTTGAAAAGTTGCAAACGCTAACGGTGGCAATAAAACGGTGGGGAATGGTTGAACGGTTTCATATCAAGATCACCAAAGCAAAAACTAAGAGCCGTGTGTAATGTCGTCGAAGCAGCGTGCTATCTCTTTCATGATCCGTGTTCGATGTGTTATACGCCGAATTCGTCTAAACGATGCGTCAACGGAAAAACAGGGAGCGCGTCTTGGGCTCCATGAGTCATTCACGAGTTACGGCTTCATAACATTCTCGTAGAACTATATGTACACTTATAGTGCATTGCAGAAGATTTCTACTGTTACATTATACGGTAGATTTAAGATTTTTGGGAATATAGAGGGGCGGAAAATCGTATGCTAAACAAGCCCTTCCCATTTTGATTTCTGTCCACCAGCTTTTATTTCTGTTCAAAATATTTTCAAAACATAGAAAATTAAAAAGTTTCAAGTTTCAAAATTAATTTTTTTGAAACTGTGAGCTGAGAAATTCCATAATTACAACGATTTCCGAAGTGATCAGTTTACACAGCGACATCAATGATGCGAGGGTGGTACACTACTCATCCCTAAGACGGAGTAGGCGTGGCATTTGAACATGGCAGTGGAATTTTACAGTTTGAGACAACTGTCATCTTGTTCAGTGTCGGTAAGAGACACGACCACAACTGCGTCAAAACTGAAGTATCTCTCCAAAACAATCATGGCCACATTTAGTTGTAGTACGCAGTCACGTTTACCACATTATTGATCTAGAATGTAGCTAACGTGCTACCATTAGTTGTACCAGATTTTCAAAATCAGTTCCGTCAAGTGACCACCTCTGTCAACTGCGCAGGTGCTCTTTTATAGAAACCCAGAGAGAGTTTTCTTGGAGAAAAGAAACTGGAAATCATTCTGTAAAATTGGAGTGAAGTTGGAAGAGCAAGATGACAGGTAGGATGGCAAAGGGGTCGTCAGAGGAGGAAAATGGGAGGGGGATCGTACTGACGCCGACCTTCCACCCATCAAGACGATGATGTAGCCTGACGTGAGAGATTAAACGGAACTTTGCTTCCTCCCCACCCACCCTTAAAGTATAGGAAGATTGGGCACTATTGAACTATTCCTACCCCAAAAAACTCAAAAAAAATTTCGCTGAAACGTTGCCTATAGATGTAATTCGATGCGCTGATCACGAATATCACATCCGTTTCGAGCGCTGGCGTCATTTGGCGCCATTATGCGCCAATTTGGCGCCCACCACTTTTTTCACCAAAGTTGATGAAAACTTGCATATGGGGTTAATCGACATCCTGATCACGAATATCACACTGGTTTCGAGCGCTGGCGCCATTTGGCGCCATTATGCGCCAATATGGCGCCAAATTGGCGCGTAATGGCGCCAAATGGCGCCAGCGCTTGAAACCAGTGTGATATTCGTGATCAGGATGTCGATTAACCCCCATATGCAAGTTTTCATCAACTTTGGTGAAAAAAGTGGTGGGCGCCAAATGACGCCAGCGCTCGAAACGAATGTGATATTCGTGATCAGGGCATCGAATTACACCTATAGGCAACGTTTCAGCGAAAATTTTTTTTTGTTTTTGGGGTAGGACTAGTTCAATAGTGCCGAAGATTGCATTCTAAAGGAGTCGTCATGACGGAAAGGAACCACCGATGCGAGCGCGGAAGAACTCTCAGCGAATTTTCTATACATAAAGGGTGGATCAGGTTATACTTCATTTTGTTTTTTGGTGTTCTAGAAGTTTGCTCACTGGAGGGAACATATGCAATGCTCACTGTACAGGCTACTCTTTGAATGCAGCAAAATGCCATAAAATCGCTTTCTCTAATAGTTTGACTTCGAAAATGAGTCAGGTCCCGGGCTGTGGGTTTCTCTACTGGGATAATGAACGTTCATCGACTCTTCTAACACGATTTGCGCGGTAACTGTTCAACGAGACATTTCTTTCTCGTAGCGCAATACGCGGTAATTTCACTTAAGATGATTCTCTACACAAATCAACCTCTCTTCTTCGCAACTTAAAGGCACATTCCGCGATAAAATAAGGCTATGACCTCTCAAATGTGTCGGACGATCCGGAAGGCGATTTTTGAGGCTGCGCTACTTTCAAAATGTGAAAAACGGCAAGAACTCCGCTAGAAGCTGACTAATTAGGCCCATGGACACCCCTTAGGCCCATGCCGACCCTCACCGGCTGCTAGCTACTAGCTAGTAGCCACTATGTTATCTTTCTCTATAACATTTCGGACTGCTTTTTCTGCTGCTTTTCTCCGCTAATCAGATACTTAGCACTTTTTTGTGCCTATTTGAGTTCCGTTTCCCGCAATTTGCGGTCGCGAACTGTGCCTTTAAAGGCACAACGTTCTGGAAAAAAACCGTCTAATAAAAATCATTATCCCTGCTCACGAACGGGCATGTGCTGGAGCCGGACCTGCGCGGGGCCATGACTGCCTTTTCAGTTGAATGTTGCCGTCTCAAGACCCTTCAGTTGGTGGAGAAGGCTGGAATGGTTCTGCTTCCTCACGCTTCCTTGGTCCGCAGGGACAATATCTGCGGGTGCTACGCGAAGCGTTCCAAGCTACCCGACTGCTGCACAAATTAGTGTTACTTGCCCGGATGCAACTCCTCGCTTTGTTTCACCTTTCACTCTTTCGGCCAAGAATTCAAAAGGTATAAAGAAAGTTTACACTTAGAG